ACTCCTAACAACTGCCTGGGCAAATCCCTGCAGTTTTCTCAGCAAGAATTCAGAAGTGACTTGCCATTGCCTCCTTCCTAGGGCTGAGAGAGAGGGAGTGCCCAAATTCAACCAGCCTTGTGCCTAAAGTGGGGGCTGAGAGAGAGAAGGACTGATCCAGGGTCACCCACCCATATGCCAAAAATGTGATTAGAACTCACAGTCTTCTGATTTCTAGTCTGATGCCTTAACTGCTACATCAAATTGGCTCTCTAGGCCACTGAGTTTAAAATGAATTTTGAGAGCATGAAAGCTTGTTGCAGTCTTTGCTCTGATAGTAAAAAACTTTTGTTTGGGCAGATATTACTTTTAATATCTTCCTGTCCTCAACTACTTTGTATAATGGTGTGCCCATTGTGAAGCTTAGGGAAGGGAGGGAGGGAGGGAGGGAGCGAGCGAGGGAGCGAGGAAGGAAGGAAGGAAGGAAGGAAGGAAGGAAGGAAGGAAGGAAGGAAGGAAGGAAGGAAGGAAAAAAAAGATGCCTAGTTAAAGATTAGAGAAACCAGTGGTTCCTTGATCCTACCAGACAGAAACAGGCTATAAAGTTCCACTATTGAGCAATTATTTATTCAGTTCCTGGAAATATATTTATAATAAGTTTCTTATTAGAGGATTCAGCCTTCAATCCCTTGAAAATAAGTAAAACATTGAATTCTGGGTGCATTCTACTCTTTATTTATAATTCTTAGTTTTTAAAATATTCTCTTCCAGAAAGGTACAACTTTTTCACATCTCCATCACATGGAAAAAAACAAATCCTTTCTCTTGAAAACTTATCCAAAATTATTGTTGTTATTATTATTATTATTGAATAATGTGTGATATTTGCACTAGTTTTACTGGAGTTAAATGCCAAAAATAGACAATATTCCTCTGCAACTTTTATATAAAGCTGATAAAACAACAGCCTGATTTCCATTTATTGCCATTTCATCTTATCCTTTTGTTTCCCTAAGTCTATGTCCCAAAATGAATCTTATGTCCTTCTTATTCAAAAGATTTAAATGTAAATCAAGATAAATGCAAGTCAAAATAATTGACAACTAATTTATGATCCAGTCTCTTCCTTACTATATAGCATATTATTATTATAAAAATCTTTTGTTCTGTAAAAGCTGTGAATTCCCCAAGACTTCAGCTGAACATTGCTTCTTGTTTCTCAGGCATTTAAAGAATCCATTAACTCTTAATTTTCTAATATTGATGCAAATGGCTTTGCTTTTTTTCTTTGTCATAGCATTAATCATTTATACGGGAAAAGTTGTAATAAAAAATAATAATTTTGAAAGAGTTCACCATTTTAACTGCTGCAGTTCAATCAATTCAATATTTAAATACTTATTCCAGATTTTTTTTTCTTTTTCTTCCAAATTGAAATAAAGTTGTTCTTACTGTAATATTTATGCCTATATATTAAAGGATTTCTATAGTTGCAATATGTTTTAAAAGTTATGTATCTCTCCCTATGTGTTAGGAAGCGTATAGAAGAACATCAATTTTGACTTTTGTTTAATCTGACACTTCTGCAAATTCTTCTAATTCCATCCTAAAACATGTTACTGAATTGCTGGAGTTTGAAAAAGGAAAGATATTGTCTGTGGTGTGTTCTTAATAAATGCTAAGCAGCTAAAGAACTCTTCTTTTGTAGCTATTGGTGGACTATTGACTTGAGGTTGCAACATGCTTCAGAAGGCCTAGGCCTCTCCAGATTGACTACCAGCTCATGGGGACAAGGTCTGGTTATATTTCTCTGTTAAAAGAAAAGTATTTTCTTAGGAAAAGAGGTGGTAGCAAATACCAGTTGAAAGGCAACTAAATGTTATTCTGATTGGATAGATAGATCTAGTACTTGACAGAATCTAACCGATTTCAGGTGGAAAAAAAATCTGGCTTTAAAGCACCACCTCTGTATTAGAAATTTTGTTTCTTATTCCAGGAAGTGTCATCAGCTAAGCATTAGAAGTATAACATAAGATTGTTCCTTCCTTCTTGATAAAATGAAAAATTATAGGTACATTTAAAAGTCACACTCCCTATCTAGGAATTCTTCACTATGACCTCTTACTACAGACCATGTCTTGCCTGTTTCAATGCATAAATAATATTTCAGGTCCAGGACATGTTTACGCAATGTTCTTGTTTGCCAGCCCCCCAAATTCTGATACCATGAGAGTTGAAAAGATCCAACAGAGGGAAAGATCATAATTATCAAGAGTTCACAATTATGTAGCTGCAGTAGCAGTTCTGATGGTCCCATTAATTACCTACTCACCTAATTTGGATGTTTTACACCAGTCACTGTCTCTTAGTGTTTATTCCAAGTTGCTCAACATTGAGTTCAACAATTAATTGAAAATGTTCACTAATATGCCCATTGTCTATTTATCCCCCCGAGTTATATTGAATATGACAAGGACTGTATTCTTGTTCAAAAGAACCCTTAGTCAACTCAATAGAGCAAGAGTTGTAATATAATTAACAGCATCAATACATGGCTTTTTTATATTTGTAAGGTTAATCACGCCACGCAATTTGAAAATCTGAATATCAAGCTTTCTACTGACTAAAAAAGTTAGAATGAATGTGTAATTTTAAATAAACATACAATCTTACTGAACTTGATGTAATCTGCATAAGCAGTTGAGTAAACCCTTCTGAAAGGACAATCTTGGCAAATTTCAAGTAAATTGCAGGGCAGGGCGTTCAAGGCTCCTTTCTTTGTAACTATTCATTGTTATCTGTTAAAATTGGATAAAATTTGCAGACATAGTTGGTTGCTAGAGAATAAAGATTGTAAATACTCTTCTACAAACAAGAGCTAGGTTTATAGTTTAGGGATGGCTAAAAAAAAGTTAACAAATCTCTCCCTCTAGTGTTTGAAGAATAATTTCTGTCAAAGCCCTGCACATTTTATTCGCCAAATTACAAGGGGAGTGCAGAGCTTTAGAGTTAGGCACGCAAGTTGATGTTGCGGCAGGAAGCCAAAAAAGGACTTAATGCTCACTCACATCATTTTGTTCTGTAATGGAGGCATGCAGCCAGGTTGCATGACAACGTGGAACTTGAGACAGTCGAACAAATACCAGCAGGAATAATTAAACTTCTAGAAAACAAATTAAGAAATGAATGAATGGACTAGAACAGAAAAAGAAGTTAGGGAAAGAATTGGTGAGAACTTCTAAAACAGGGTGGTAATAATTTAGGGTTTGAGATTTGTATTCTGTATGCTGTGCAGCACTCCCAGAAGAAAATGGGCAGGCTCAGAACTAAACAACTGTTTGTAATGGATCAATTGATTACGTGCCATCAAGTTGTTTACAGCTCTTAGCAACAACATAGATTTTCTCCACGAGGATCTTGAATCTTTTCATTCAAGTCTCTCAACGGTACGTTCCTCACCACTGCAACTGAGTCCACCCGCCTTGCCATCTGGTCATCCACTTCTCTTTCCTTCCACCTTTCTCAGCATTGGAGCTTTTCCCAGTCTTTGCATACTATGTCCAAAAGTGTCTGGGTTGCAATGGATTAAATATCTGAATAAATATAGGCGGAACTAGGCTGCAGAGGGAGAAAAAGTTTGATGAGCACTCAGTGAAATCCAATCGAAGTGAAGATGTCCCAAGAGTAAAGAATGTCGGAGTAACGATGCATGAAAATTGAAGATGCACTGTTCAGAAATATCCATACTAGATTGGCGGGGGGGAGGGGAGAGGGGCATTTAAAAGGCAAAAGAGATCTGATTTAAAATTCAATCTTATTTCTTGTATTTATCATTTTTTTAACCTAGCTCCAAATGTTATATTTTTCACTAACAAATGAAGACAGGTCTCCAATCCATATTAAAGCCGGGGTGGGGGTGCGGGGTTGCTTTTTAAAGGAGAGAATATATACTATGCATATCTCCTGACTCAATTAAATATTATAAAAGTATTGTTTTGTGCAATATGCATATGATGTTCAGAACCTCAGTATGAAGATAAGTCCATACATTCCCTTCCTCTTTCTCCCACCATTACAGGATCACTGAGAGTCAGAAGTGATCGGTGCCTTTCCATGTTGTAGAGAGGCAGGTCATTGGCTGTTGCTTTTCTTTTTCTTTCAAAAGGCAACTGGACTCTTTTTTCCCTTGAGGAAGGAAAAAACAGTTTTTGCTAGCGGCTGCTTCATCTGTGGCACTGGTGTTCAAGTACTGCCGTTAATATTTTTTAGCCAATAGGTATGGATCATGTCCTTGCCACAGAGACTGGTCTGCTACAGATAGTCCTCACTTTACAACCAATCATTTTACAACTATTTGAAGCTATGATGGCCTAAAAAGGATATGAAGGCATTCTGTCTAGGAATCTGCTTGATGGTTATAACCCTCAGGAAGCCAAGCTGAAGCCAATCATACCCAATATTGGAGTGCTACTCTACTTCAGGATTTGTAATCAACAGTCCTCCCACTATGACCATAATGTTTCAATTCTTTCCAGTGCAGTTGATTTTGTTCCCACTGAAATTTGCTTTATTGGAAATATGTAGAGGAACAATATTAAAAATGATGTCTTTTAGATTTTCTGTCCAAACACAACAATATTTTGCCTTTGCCTGCCCATCAGCAATTGCTTCTTATTCCTTCCTTCTTTTTCTCAGCTGATAGAAAAAGGTTTGAAAGTTCTTATCCTCCTTGGGAAAAACACAGAAATACCTTGGTTTACTTTTAAATCATGCTGAAGGCCACATGATTTGAATTAATATGATGGGGAAGGCACATCCTAGTTGGACATGAAGTAAGCAATGGGCTGAGGCCAAGGCTAAATGGATTGAGCCACCACCTGATTGCTTACTGGGCACTTTTGAAATTAGTTGGGGTGGAAACCACCTAAAGTCAGGCCATCCTGATTTTATATAACCTTACATGATTCATTCACTTCACAAATCAGCTATGCCATCGTAGATTCAAGCCAAGAGTCCATAACTGCTTTTAATAAATAATTTAATCAGAGAAATACAGTGAAACAAGGTAGAGAGGCTTTCCAGTGTTGTCAAAAGCAGCCCATGGTTGTAGGTTAGGGCTGAATACAGATAGTCATCGAAAAGAGAAGCCTCTCCTGTCACAATCATATTCTGGGTACAAAGCTCATGAAATAATCTGGTCTTTGCGGCTATAGAGACTAGAAGATGGCTCTAAGACAGACACAAAAGATGATCAGTGGTGACAAACCTGGCTGTTAACTCTACCATTTCAGATTGCAACTAGAAATTGATTAACTTCCTACAAACAATCAAAACAAAGATCATTTCATGTTGTGAACTTCATGTGCATTCTAGAATAGTACGTTCCAGGCCTAGGATTACCACTTCATGAGAAGCAAGTTTTGAAAAGAGCTGAACATGAGAAATATAAGAATATGAAGTTCAGACTGACTTGTAAATTTGCAAGGTGGAGAATTTCTCTGGTAGAAACTGAGAAAACTTTCTTCAAAAATTAAGTTCAGTATTTTGAAGAAGCTATTGGAATCTGCAAACATCAGGAATTCTCAGCTCTGGCTTGCTGAAGGAGCAAAAACTGCAAAGTCAAATAGCTTTCACTGCAAACATAAAACATCTAAAATAGAACAATTAGACAGAAATGTCTACTGATACTGTGGCATGAGTGAGTTTGGCCATATATATAGTAGCACATAAACTGATCCAGAATGGATATTTTTGTGGATGCCTGTAAAGACTCTTAAGGTTTGTAAAGGAACTGTAGATTTTCTGGTAAAGAGATCTAACTTCTTTAAAGATTCCCAAATCATTGAATCTTTCTTTATAAATAAAAGGGTGTGGAGGGGGAGAGATAAGATTTCCACAATAGGGATCACTTAATTCATTAGCAGCTCTCCAATTCAGTCAACAGAAAAAGTATTAGCTTGAATGTTTTAAAAAAGTTTTTATGAACAAACCCAACTTGTTATGGGTACTTTAATACAAATTAAAGATGACCCAGCATCTTCCAATTTTTAGATAAAGAGTTTGTGGGTATGTTGGTGGTCAAAAGATAAGTCTTTATTCACAAATTGTTACCTGATGCTGCCTTCCCCCTCTCCCCCTATTCTTTGTACAGGGAGGTGCCAGATAACTAATTCCTATTCCTTGGTGATAGACAGAGTCCACATTGCATGACTAATCTTTGCATAAATTAAATATTCAATAGATATCAGGTTCCATTACAGAATAACCCATGGGGTTGGTTTGTGCCTCCATCCACATCCAAGTCATAAAAGCACTGAGACAAGGATGTGAACTCCAAGTCTCAGGTAGGCTTAATAAGTACCAGAACTGCTTTGCCCTGTTCACAAGGCAAAGTTGCTCGTTCAAGCTTCCCCCACAAGGATCTCCTCTTCTGCTACTGCCGAACAGGTCTCTGCTTCAGCACTCTAAGGGAGAGTGTCTCTGCCCACAAGAGCAGTTCGTTGATCCGGGCTAGGCCCAGCCCAGCAACCTTGGCACCGTTTACTTCAAGTATCTCATCCCCAACTTCTAGGAGTCCAGCATAGAGTTTAGCTGTACTGGTGTCTGCCATCTCCTGGACGTAGATACCTGTTAAAAAGAGAAAATAACATAAAATTGCATTTCGTGTTTTAGTAAGGTAGCCTTTTATTGAAATGTCACAACTATGCAATGGGAAAAATGTTCCTCCTGCAAAATCAAAAGAGTTTGAGGAAAAACTGAGAGACATATAACACTTCTTCACTGAACCTATGCTTATTAGACCTTCATTAATCATTTAGAACTTCTTATAGAAAGACACAGGTTTCCCTGTTTTGTATGAATCTGCATTTATGCATTTGAGCATTTTCTGCTGGATTTCTTTGCAACAAAATCTCCCAAACCTGTCACTGTATTTGTGTCAGAATAATCAACTTGCACCAAAAATCTGGAAGCATGCCACAACTTTTTGCCATCAAAATCATTTGAATGTTTTCCCTTCATACTTTTACCGTTGTACTGTGCAATTACTATCATTATTTCTACTGTTTTGATGCATTTATAAATGACTTAGATGAAGGAATAGAAGAGGAACTCATCAAATTTATAGATGATACTAAACTGGAGGAACAGCCAACACCCCAGAAGACAAACTCAGGATCCAAAAAGATTTTGAGAAACTTGAACAATGGGCTCTATCCAACAAAATGAATTTTAATGCGGAGAAAAGCAAAGCTTTGCATTTAGGCAAGAAAAATCAAAGGTATAAGTATAGATTAGGCTGTACTTATACTAGCTATTTTATAGCTAGTTACGGGCAATTTATAAATGAGGACTCAGGTGTACTACCACAAGCAAAAAGAAAAAAAAATCCACCCAGAAAAGCAGCACAATGACTAAGAAAAAAAATAGTTTAATTTGTTAAATCTAGTTATTAGTTAATCAAGGCTTCCTGGGAAGGGGTAGCTCAGAACAAGAAATTGTTTAATTGAGATGTATCCCAATATATTTTGAAATTTTCTTTTTTGGGTGGAGGTGTAATGGAAACACTGTATTCCTAGAATCAGAGTGCTTAATGCAGGATAAACATTTGTCAACTCCGTCACAAATGTTGCAACATTCCCAGGAATTTGCCTGGGAAAAAAACCCCTAAGAACATATGTTCCAAATTATTCCCACCATTTGACCTACTTTAGACAGTCCTTCTCTTAAGAAAAAAACAGAAAACATAAAAACATCAGTGAGATTCTATCATAACCAAATATTTGATTGTGTTCCATAGCCTATTTTTAACTAGTGCCGTATAGCAGGATATAAAGTAGATTTGTAGCATACAGTATATGTGGCTGAATATTTCAAATGTGTTCTTCAGAAAAAAAGATAACAGGGAAATGATTGCAGTGCAGAAAGCAATAATACACATGCACCAAACAATATAGCTCAGTGTTTCTTGACCTGTGGTCCACGGATCCCTGGGGGGCCACGATGTCATTACAAGGGATCCACAAAGCCTGGAAGAAATGTAATGATTTAAAACTTGAGTTAAGCCTTAGAGGTCCATGGTCAAGGTCCATGGCCGCAAAAGGCATTTAAAGGGGGTTCATGATGAAGAAAAGGTTGAGAACCACTGGTATAACTGAAACAGGTTTGAACAAACAAGGCTGCTTTTACCTTCCATTTGTGCAGCATTCCTATTTTTTGGCATGGCTGCATGGTTTCCTGAGTATACACATGTTTAGCAATTTCAATACTACACCAAATCATAATTAGCAAGGAACGCATGGGGTCATGCAGCCATGTCAGTGTAGATCAGGTGTCTCCAACCTTGGCAACTTTACGACTTGTGGACTTCAACTCCCAGAATTCCTCAGTCAGCGCATGCTGGCTGAAGAATTCTGGGACTTGAAGTCTACAAGTCATAAAGTTGCCAAGGTTTGAGATCCCTGGTGTAGATGAAGCCACTTAAAAAAATGATATGTTTTTGAGAGGATGCTCTTTGATGTTCTGGAACTTTTTTAAAAAAATGAATCATAACATCATGAGTGTTGTGGCACATCTGTTTTATTGGAAAGAGTAATACATCGCTGTGTTTTGCTGCTGTAACTCAGACAAATTATCTAAGGATAAACTGGGCATTACAAAAACAGTACTTGGGTGCATATATCCTGTGGCTAGTTTGTGTTTAGGAAGTTACCATTCTTGGGTTTGAGGGCAAAGCATTTGTAAAAGAAGCAACAATATCATAATTGGCATAAGAGCTAGCTGCAGAAGTCCGTGAGCAACATAAAATAAAATAACTTCCAGGTCCAGAATAAAGTTTTAAGTCTAAATTAACTTAAAATGTACAGATCAATGAAGAGGCTAGATTGAAACTGGTTATTTAAGAATGCCTCTGAGGAATGTCTCCTCTTGTTTTTCTCTCTGTAATATAAAAATGAAGAAGGCAAGGCAGAAGGAAAGAAAATCTATCACAAGGAGGAGCATCTCTTTGCTGCTCAGAATCCTGAGCAAATCTTCCTCTGGAAGATGTTATAGGGAGCAGGGAATGATATATAGGACCTACTTTAGCAAATGAGTTTCCAGAGACTATTGACAGTCCTTGTAGACTGATTCTTTGTGGCTTGTAGTTGTGATGAGACATAGAATTCCTATTTCAAAGACCTATATTCAGGAAGTGGTAGACATTCTGATGAAGAAAAAATAGGCAATTCTTACTCTGTGGGGTCATAGCGTGTTCACAAATGTTATGAGAATATGCCATGGAAGACTAAAAACACGGCAAGAGCTCAGAGCTCAGAGACCAGGGTATAGAAATGGACTGGTGGCCTTACCTATTAATACAAACCAGATACAAAAAAGACAATGAAGAAGGAGGAGTTGAAATAAAGCCTAACCAGTTAGATAAATTATTAGAAACCAAAGAGGGAAAATTAATCTCAAAGTTTTACAAATACCTATTAGAATTTGATTTGGCAGAAAACATAGTTAAAGGTCAAATGATAGCTTGGGCTAGGAATATTGGAAGAAACATACAATTGGAAGAGTGGGAAATGATATGGGAAAATAACTATAGAATAACAAAAGCAACAACATATAAAGAGAACCATTATAAGATGTGGTACAAATGGTATCTAGCCCCGGCGAGATTGGCAAAGATGTATGTAAATTTCAACCCGATATGCTGGAAATGTAAACAAACACAGGGAACCTTTTATCATCTTTGGTGGCTTTGCCCAAAAATTAAGAAATTTTGGATAAAAATTAGAACCTGGATAATAGAAATAACGGAAGAAGATATTGATTTAAAACCTGAAATTTTTCTGTTAGGTATACTTAAAAAAAGTAGTAGAAAGGAAATAAAGTACATTACGTTACATATAATCACGGCGGCTACATTAACCCTAGCTCAATCCTGGAAATCAGAACAGTTGCTAACAGAGCAGCAAATAATCCAAAAGATATTCAAATGCGCAGAAATAGATAGATTAACTTTAAAATTAAATGATAAGGAAGACTCACAGTATTTCAAAGTATGGGACAGATGGTATGAGTGGATTAATCAATGGAAAAAAAGGTAATGTCAAATATAGTAAGAAAGCAAAGGTAACAAATATACACCGTCATTAAGATAAAAGAAGCAAAGGTTAATGTATATATTTGCATACTTATATATTATAGACAGGTAATCCGGTTTGTTAGTTTTGTTTATAAGTAGTTTTGAATGTATTTTTAGAGTTAAGAACTTTTTGTATAATTTTTATCTTTTTAATTGAATAAAGTTTGTTTTAAAACAAAAAAAAAGAGAGAGAGAGAGAGAGAGAGAATATGCCAGAGAAGTGGAATTAAAGTCATGCAGAAGAATTTCAGAATGCCAGAATGCACTTTTATAATATACACAACTTGCATTTATGATTTAGGAATCGCAGCATCTCTGAATCTGTCAGGGTATGTACGAAGAACATTTTGTAATGTTATTACACCCCTACAGTTTCAGTGTTGCATCCCATGCCCACAACAGGTTTATCATTCTCTCAAATCATGAGTTTGTTTTGCATGGGTGCATGGGTATAATGCCATTGGCGTTATCTTTTACAGCAGGGGTCCTCAAACTTTTTAACAGCGGGCCAATTCATGGTCCTTCAGACTGTTGGGGGGTGGACCAGTTGGATGGCCATGGCTAGGTAGTCATGTAACTGGGTAGGCGTAGCCAATTTATTTATTGATATCAATTTTTATGTTTTACATCTATAGTTTTTATATAGTTTTATCTCACCGTTGTGTGCCACCCAGTCACCTTTGGTGAACTGCTCTCATCAGGATCTAAGGCAAAAATATTCAGATGGACCCAAAAGCTAATGCAGCTCCTATAAAAGCATTTGCAGGACTGAACTATTCATATAAAAACCTGGTCAAGATATTCAAATACCTGGGAAGGGAGTGGAGATAAAACCTCCCACAGCAAAGCCCATAAAAATCCTGATCTTGAGTGAGACATAGGCTGGATCACCTTATTTCAGATGTTTAGTGGCATCTTTTATTTTATTGAAAGCCAAAAGGCTTTGTGATTAGCACAGTCCTCATATAAACCCCTTCCTTGTAATATGAACTCACTGGTTCTGAAACATGAAGCAAATCTGTTCGTTCTTTAAAGACTTGAACAGAAAGATTCCATTGGTTCTTATTGTCCCTTCTCCTGTCTCAGGGGTCTGCAACCTTAAACACTCCTTTTCATCTCTTTTTCATCGTTTTCTTTCTGTCTCCTTCTCCCTCCCTATTCCTATAGTTAAATACATGGATTCTTTATACTAAAATATATAAATAAAACTAGATTTTAAGTATGTAATGTTAAATTTGTTTTTGTTTCTCAACTGAAAAATTAAGGATACAAATTGTAAAATAAAACAAATGTAAGCCAGCATCCTTCCCTCCACCCAGCAAACAAAAAAAAATGTACAATTTAAAAAACCATAGGGATACTCCAACACCATAGTTTTAAAAAGTAAGCCGGGGGTCCACTTGTTCAAAGTTTCAGGCCATTCGTTACTAAACTCATACCTGTATCAGGACGACCATTCCCTGAAGAAACACGAAACCCAAAGTTGCCTTGTTGGAACCGCTGCAATTCTAATTGAGTAGTTCCATCTGGAAAAACTGCTACCACCCGCCCAACGGTTCTCGCCAAGTTAGGGGACCCAATGTCCTCCACACTGAGGGATCTTCTATGCTGAGTCCTGGTTTTCCTAAGAATGGGGAAAATATTGTCATATTCAGAAAGATGTATAATCTGAAGTCAAAGAAGAAGATGGTGGTTGTTTTTTCCTCTTATCATCTAATGTAACTTCTTTATAACATCTTGGTTTTTAATGAACAGATTTACAGCTCACGTTATGATGGGAACTCTGTGAAAAAGTGAAGCTGACATTGCAGCATAAGGTAGTTTGGAGACTATCTTACTTGGCCTTGGAGACCAAGCTTATGCATTTCCCGTGTGTACAAGGAAAATTTCCTCAAAGGAAACATATTAAGTTTTACAGCATTACCCATTAATAACTTTTCAACTCTGTAAATATACTTTTTGCCATCCTATGTTTAAAAATTCTGACCACATCATCCACCTACATCAGGGCATTTTTTAAATTGCTTAAAGTCAATTTTAGAAGCATTTGATTGTAAAAGCAAAGTATGTAGTTGTTCTAGCAATTGTGTGTTCTGCTTAGGGATCTCTGAGAGTCCATCTTTTTGAATTTCCAATATATTTGGATTTCAGTTGCATAACCAAGAACAGCAAGCAAATCAAACTTTAGTTAGCCACCAGGCTTTGCATTCTCAAATACTCTGATATATATATTTCAAGAGTGAGAAAATACATATTAAAACAACCTTTTCAGACATATTTGTATGGTTTTGTTCAGCCATACTGTATGTTCACATTGAATTAAGTGGCATTATACGTTTTCTTCTTCCCAGGAAGGTATCATGAAGCAATCTTAATGTCTGATGTGGTTGCTATAATTATGACAGAGCTAAATAAAGCAATTTCACTGTTTATGAAAACAGATAATTTCCTATAAGTCAAAACTAGTATTAATAATTCAAGGTTCACTTTGAATTCACAAAGTTAGTATTAAATAGTACAATATTACTATTAAAATGTAAGATTTAGTGGTAACTCTAAATGAAAACTAAACAACTTTCATAACCTATTTGCATTGGAAATTAAGCACAGGACTCCACACTCTGTGCATAGAACACTAGACCATAGGTTAGCATTATAGCTGAACCTGGAAAATACAAATGTCCCCATATGGATTAGTTCTGTGCATTAAAATGAAAACAAGATGAAGCTGACTTTGTGACAAATCACATACAATAGAAACATGGGGAGAAAACAGCATGATGCGACCATAGCTATCTAACTACTCTGCAATTCCCCTGAGAAACAGCAGTTAGGGGCAGGATTGGATCTGGATTCATGTCTCCTGCAGAAAAGCTAGCCACTCTTCAGGCTACTGTGAATTGAATATGCAAAGATCCTGCAGGATGCAGACAGAGCTGAGTTGCTGCAATCAGTGTATAAAAACAGATTTATCCACCATTCAACACATAAAAAGAACCATTTAGGATATGGTCACAATAGTCATCTAAAGTATCCCAATTCTCACCTGTTAGAAGTAGCTTCCTCATCCTTAGGTTCCCCCACCAGGTAAACATTGGACCGATTATTCTTGCCCAAAAAGGAATGCAGATTTTGAACAGAAGAGGCTTTTCTTGGTTGGCAGAAAGGTGACACCTAGTGGGAGAAAATACTGCAAATCAGAAAAAGTATTGAAGAATCAAACTGCAGATATATTGGACAAAGACGAATAAAGTTTTCTGACTAAAAGCTTGAATTATCTTGATCTTTCTGAAAACCAAAAGAAGTAAAAAAAAAAAGGGGGGGGCAATGCTACTGGATTTGCTTTCATTAAGTTAACTTATTAAACATGTTTCAAAGATCTAAATTCTGATGCTTCAAAAGTATTGCATTGTCACAACATAATCACATTATTAAATAGTATGCACATGCACTTACGAAATTTTTATTTTTGATAAATAGTAGATATTTAGCAGAGGTCAATAACTCAGTGGCTTTTTCACATTTTATAATAATTTTATTAGATTATATTATGCAGATAAAACTAACACAGTGCATAAAAATGAAAACTGCAAAGAAGAAAAAACGTCTAAAATGAGAAAGCAAGAAAAGTAACTTCCCCCTTTGTCTCAGAGTGTACAAACAATTTTAACAATTTATCAACCTCTCTTAAAATAGAACATTGTCTTCATCCCATATCTCATCTCATTCTTTATAAACAAATCTTTAAAATCTATCCTAATCAAACCCATCCTAATCAGCAAATGTCTATTAAGGATTACCCAAAATAATACCCTAATTATTATAAACTTGATCAAATAAACCCTCTTGAATTTCTTCCTTTTAAGGTATATCTCATTTTCTATAATAATTCAAATCCCCCAATCCCATTATTCAAATGTAGAATACACTAAAGGTACCAGATAACATGACTATTTTAATCTTATTCAGATAAATTTAAAATACATCCAATAAATTTTTTCCCATGTAACTTTTAACTATAAACAAAACCTTAAAACATCATTATCTGGTCCTGGTCAGAAAATAAAAATCCATTAAAACTTCCAGAAATAGCAACCAATCTATTTTAATCTTGGTCAAATAAACCAGTTTTATATTATACAGTGCCACTAGAATATTCTAACAAATTACATCAATGTCATCCAGCAAACAACCATATATTTGTCTGTTCTTCCCTTCTCATTTGCCAATTGAAAAAAAGTATTTTCCCCGCTTGGAAACTCTTGAGTATTATTATCATTGTTTTGACATATAAAACTTCAGCAGCACTTTCATAATTCTTAGAGATGATCTTGTTAAAATATTTCTTATTGGAGTGGATTCTTGCTGTGCATTTATTTATTGATGTACAGCTATGTGTCAGGTTTCGTTGCTATCTTAAATAAACTTCATTCTCAAACGCAAAGTCTCTAATGAATCTTTTATCTTTATTTAAGAATAGACAAATGACATGCCTGGACTCTGATGCAGCCAAGATTGGCACCTCCTTCCAAACCCTTCCCTTTCCATTCTTCAACCCCAATGTCTCATTGGCCACCATGCAGATCCATCTCTTCGTCCCATGCACTTTCTTTTCACAGGAATTTCCCCCCTCCCTCTGTTGCCCAAGTAACGCTATCTGCTGAAGAGCCAGGAACTAGGTGAAAGTTCATCCCAGCATTAAAGCAAGTCTCTGTGATTTCATGTCAGCGCTGAAAGAGATCATAATTTGGAACGCTGACACTATGTTTGGATAATGAAATGAACTCGTTTTCTGTAAAATTCCTTTGATTTGATTGAAAAAAAAAATTGAATCCCACTATTTGAGATCTGAAAAGCAGGAACTACAGAAAAGTAGAGAATCAATATATGGAATGTGAATATGAATGTGAATCAGTGAATAACTAGCACTGTTGGACTTCATCACTGTCTCAAAGAACTGGGAGCATTACAAACTAAGATGCTCTAAGTAAGATGAATTTCAATGGTGTCATTATATTGTAAAAACTGAAATGGATTTCTAGATGCAGACTGGGCTTACAGGTGGACTTCAGGGTTTAAAATGTTTAAACATTCATGATGCTGTTTAATGCAAAATGCATTGACTAACAAAAAAGTTATACTGATAATATGTCATCACTGTAAGGCTAATATTTCTCTGGAAAATAGTTTTAAATTTGTACCATAAAAACTAAGCTAGTTTACTGCTACCTTATCTCATAAAACCGGGGTGGGCAATTAATTTTCCCAGGGGGTCACATGAGAAACTGGGATTGTAGTGGATGACCACCTCCAGTGCCCTGCCCCCCACTGAAGGAACCCTGCCCCTCCAGTGACTCTGTCCAAACCCCTGCCGCCAATGCACTGCCACTGATGTTGCCAATGCCATGGGTCAGATATGGCCCAAAGGCTGTAAAATCCCAGGTATCATAAAATCTAATAAAAACAAAATTTCAACACAGGCTATAAAATACCCTGTCATAAAATTTAATAAAAACACAATTTCAACTCACCCTCTGCAGAGATTGTAAGGAAGGTACTTTCTTCATTTTTGGAGAACAAATGGTATCTGGGCCAGTTTCCATGTTGGGCTTGGCAGTTCCTGATTCTAGCATAGAAATCTGTTCCATGCTATAACATCGGAATCTGCCCAATCTTTGTTTGGTGCTCTGACTCAAAGTGTTGAAGAATTTTTTAAAACCTGATGTAGAAGAGACTTCTTTCTTGGTGGATTGCTGTTTCTTTGGCTGCGGGTAGACTTCTAAGTGTTTGCTGGAAGGCAAAACAACCAGCCAAGAGAATTACAAATTAAAAAGCAAGAGTACCTTCAACTTTATTTATAATTTGGAGTGCCCCAATGAACCAGTTTGGTGTAGTGGTTAGTAGGCATCACACTAGAAATCAGGAATGATTTTAAGTTTCAGTTCTGCCTTAGGCGACTTTGGGCCAGTCACTCTCTCTCAGCTTTAGGAAGAAGGCAACAGCAAATCACTTCCAAAAATCTTGCCTGACTTGAAGGCACATAAAAAAACCCAAGGACAATAAATGATAAAAGGATTTTGAAAGGATTTACAAATATTTAATAAACAATTAATAGACAAACTAGACACATTTACCTATACTTTCAAATTAACCACATTAATGCCCGAGGAACAGAGAAACAACTTACTATTATTACAACTATATTCCACAATTCTAATCTAAAAAACACTTCCCCAACTAATATTAATTTATTTTTATTTTATTTATGCCCAACTTTTGCTTTGTTTTTGTTTTAAAAAGTATAGAGAAAAATTCTATAAGTGGAGAAGTGTAGCTTATTTTTCTGTGAAGTTCATTCTTTGTGTAATTAAGTTTTTCATCTTACTATGACTAGGATTTTTCCATTTCAAACTGCAAACCTAGAATTGCATATGTGAGGTATTGAAAAGTGTAAGGGGATTAGTCTCTAATCTTATCACTATTTTGACTAAGTAAAAGAGAGCAGCTGTACTCTACTGTATCTCTATCTATGCTTCATAGATAACTATGAACTGTGTGACTTTGTTGAAGAGGATGTTGTCAAAAAGTGAATATTAGAAATACATTGCAGTTAATGGACTTTTGATCAGAACATTGCTTAACAAAATCCGTCTTTTTGACTAGGAATTATGGGAAATGAAATCCAACACTGTTGGTGAACACTAGGTTGGGAAAGGCTGACATATACTATATAGTATCATTAATATGTAGGGAACCTCATCTAGGTCAAGGATAGAGGTGTACCCCAAAGATCTTACAGTATAAGCAGCTTGAAAATAGGAAGAAGCAAAAGGAAGAAAACAAGGTATTATTAATAAATTCATATGCCTCACTCAGAAATTTGAAGGCAGAGAGACAGAGAAAGGGGTACAACATAAAGCAAGTATTTTGAAAGAGTTTAAGCTTTAACTGGGGCTCTATCTTATATATGTGATGTACCATTTATTCTGGTACATCACTGTGATCTTTTAAGAAGGAAGGAAAGCCCACATGGCCCAGGAAAGATAGGCTTTGTGACCCTTAATGTACTGTTCTTTCTATTTGCTCCGATTATAGCAATCTTCCAATCCAATGTTGCGCTCAATGCAATGAGAGCTGAAAACTGAATAGACCCAACTGATATCTGTAACTGCTACGTGGCACTGTTAGTTGCACGACAAATGACTTAAAAACGCAATAAATAAATGAATAAATAATAATAAATGTGTTTCTTTATATCACTCTGCCCAAGTTGTGTTTCTTTAACTCTTGAAAATCCAAACTTGATAATTCCCCTCTATATACATTTCTCAGATTTTTAAACCGGTCCTTACAAAAGATTTCCTAAATAGCTACTTCTTATAAAGGCAGGTGACACTATGTCATGGATGAACAGAGCAACACTGTCCCCAAGGGCAAGAATTTATTCTCTCTGCCTTCTGTAAGAGCAAATTATAGACATTTAGCCGCCAGAATGACAACACTTAAGAGTCATCACTGGAGTAAGAGACGCTATTGAGAATCAAACTTCAGCCTTCCATCCCTGGTATTAAAGAAATAACAACTGTTCAACCAAATTGTACAAACACTGGCCAGAAAGAAATAAGTGCATTATATTAAATTATGCTTTTTAATAAAAAATATAGAATGTTGTGCCCTTTGTGTACAAAATATTTTTTGTCAAGCACAAAGCCATCTGGAACTTGCCAGGCAGTTGCCAGGAGTTAAACCTGACTTGAAGGCTCTCTTTCTTACACTTACACTTACACACACACAGGAGGGGGGAGGGAGGGAGAGAGAGAGCAAGAGAGAGTTTGAAACAAAAAAGGCTTTCAAAGTCAAGAGCTTTTCTTACTTCTCTTATTTGTACTTTCCAAATGTATCTCCTGCCTACTTCCTTCAGCCCCATTTCAAGGGGCTGAGAATCATCTGAGAATCATCTCAGCTTGAGCATCTCTATTCTCAACCTACTTTTCAGTAAATCTGCCAAGCTTGTGCTGGCTTAGATTAATTTGTTTCTGGCAACGCTGGACAGAATTTCATCAGACCAAATTATTTTATTTATCTGGTTAACTAATCAGCCAGCAGTAGAATCCAAAGTAAACACATTGTTGATGTTGCTAAACAGTGCAACTACTCGAGTTATCAAAATGGATTTTAGATGAATTGAAGAAACCAATAATATGCCATTTTAGCATTTTAGATATAATTCCTGGATTAGAAAGGAAAGGCTTAATTTCTGAGAACTGAGGTATCAAGCCATAACAAGAACTTTCTGGGGATTTGGGCAGGAAGGGAGAAGTAGGTCAAAGCAGATTTCAGAGCTAAGAGGGAGGGGAAAACAGCAGGGGAGGCAACGGGGGGCTCTAAGCCTGCTGGCAGCACCAACAAGGCAGTACTTGCCTGCTGTGAGAGTGAGAAGCCAAGCCTGAAAAAGCAGAAAGCACCCATGGGGAGAACTGCAGTAGACCTCAGGGGAGTTCAGCAGAGGAAAGATTATATCACGGAGAGCTGAAAGTAGACACGTGGGAAGCATTTGTTGCTAACAAACTGAAAGAGATATTCAGTCTGTACTGCTGCTGTCCCTGGGAGAAAAAGGATTTTAAGAAGAGATTGGACAGCCGTTTGTCCAGAATGGTATTGGGTCCTCTGCTTGGGCAGAGGGTTGGACTAGAAGACCTCCAAGGTCCCTTCCAACTCTTGTTATTCTGTTTTGTTAAAACCAGCACAATGAATTATGGGACAGAGCCTGGGAGCCTTACGAACATAGGAAGTTGAGTTCACTCTTACTGACCACATAAATAGATCTTCTCCAGGATGATGTGCCCCCAAAATAGTCCTTCAATGATGCACCCATTACCCCTGTAATCGACTCCATCCATCTTGATGCTGATCACTCTTCCCTTTCTTTCAACTTTTCAACCCTACCATAGACTTCATAAGAGAGCCAGGTCTGCATTATGTGTTGAAAATATGATAAATTGATCCTCATCATTTTATTAATTTAAACTTTATTTATTTAACTGTTATATCTGGGTACATAGATATCATTTTGGTTGTTTAAAGACTGTGTAGTAATTCGGAAATAATTAGACTGGAAGAAACTGACAAATCATTTTCCTGCTTCTTTCCCATTTCCTAGGCCATACAGTACAACTACATTTTCCTCTTTACTATTCCCAACTAGTATTAACATTAGAACATTCTAATGTCCAACTTCAAGTAACAAAGCTTGCATAATATGTTGATTTCAGATTGAGATTTTCCTGCATGACATCAGCACATAGATATCAGAAAATCTTTAACATGACTGCACTGCAAACATTATTAACACTCTAAAGGATTCTCAGTTCTTCTTCAAGAACAATCCAAAGGGCCACCATCTGGCACTATATTATCAGTCACTCTATATTGTCTATCCATGCAGTTTTCTTGAAAAAAATACAGGAGTTATTTACCATTGCCTTATCATGTGCAGTGTGAAACAATGCCTTTGCTATTGTAACTAAAGCTGTCATCTCCCTTTTCATCATCTTCCTATTTTGCTGCTGCCAATATAGGCCCGTCTGCTTTAATCAGAAATCTGTAGTGGATTAAAAGCCTTGGGTGACCCTGATGGGAGTAATTACTCTTAGCATACATTCCCAGCATTATTTGTTCATCCCTTCTAGGAGCACCTCCCACCATATGAGACAGTGTAGCAGGACAACCAATCCATTCTACCAATTAACTGAAAATGTCCAGGTTCCTTTTGAAGGCAAATGTGTATCCTGCATAGAAAGTATCTTTTTCACAAATAATGTTCAGATGCTATGTAGTCTTGGAGAAGTACCTCACATCCTAAACCTACTTTGCAATTGTTCCAAAGATAAAAATGGGGAAATACAAATTAAAAAGCATTTGGTTAAGCTTGCTAGCTACACCAATTATTAGAATTACTTTCCTCCTGGCAACCTTTTCCACTTCCCACAAGTTGGTACTTTGGAGGCCTTTCCTTTACAAAAGGAGGGAGGGAGATATTATGAAGATGAGGTGAGGTGAGGAGCTGTAAATTAACTAGCCGCTGCTTATTTTCTTTAGTATATTTCTTATATATTTCTTTGGTTTAATTGTGTCAGATTCTTGAAGACTGCCTGGAGAAATCCCTCTAGTTTCTTAGCAAGATTTTTCAGAAGTGGTTTGCCATTGCTTTCTTCCTAGGTCTGAGATTGATTCGCCATGATCACCCAGTCAACTTTGTGACTAAGACAGGACTTCTTGTGGTCCACCAGCAGCCTGCGGAGCTGGCAGCAGAGTCAGACAGTGATGAGGCTGGGGAGGAACATGGGCCAGTCCTGGCATGTCGGGAAGGCTCGGACGAGGGCTCTGCGTCGGAGGCAGAGATGTGGCCAGGGCCATCTGGGAGTTATGCATGGACTCCGGAGCCTCCAGAGTCGGACATCAGAGAGGCAGAGGAACAGGAGGAGCCTGTTCCTAGTGTGCGCATGCGCAGAGCTGCCAGAAGGCAAGAACAGTTAAAACTAAAGGGACGACTCGGGAGTAAGGCCTGGAGATGATTGCCCCCCCCCCATAAGGCTTAAAAGAGGAGCAAAGGCATGTGGGGCCTTTGCAGGAAAGCAACGTTGTTAATTCTGTTCCCAATCGGCATCTCTGTTTGATTCTGGACTCGGTGTGGCTTTGCCAAGTAGGTCTTTGGCAGCATGTCAAGGGAGATAAAGGTTGGTGATTATCTTGAAGGACATCTCCTGAAGGACTTTTTGCAACTAACTGGGACTCAACTGTGAATGAACGTAATTCACAGCTGTTGCAATAAAAGAGGTTTTTGGGACTACACGTGTGTTTTAATGACTCAGGAAGCCTAGATCACAACAGGACTAGAACTCACAATCTTGTGGTTTCTAGCCTGATGCCTTAATCACTACAGCAATCTGGCTCTTTTTTAGTATATGCCATTGCAAAGAAAGAGATCATGGTAGAAACAAAGCAAAAACATTTTTGCTTAAATTGTGTCTTGGTCATCAAAAACCAGTTTTTGTTAACCTTCATCAGAAGAAAAGATTAAATGGCAGTAATAACTCCCTCATTTGTCAGACTAGTGGGGATTATGGGAAATGAAGTTCAAGAGAATATCAAGTTAGGAAGGCTGATGGACAAGATCCCTCAGTAGCAGGTCATTTGTCCATGCTGGCTGAGAAGTTCCAACATGTAAAGGGATTAATTTGGGAATTACTTAATTAGTTTTAGCTTTAGAAAAATGACATTTGATCTTATAAACAGCCCTGCTCTATGACATCCCCACCTAAACTTTCTAACAACATGATATATTTCTACTCACCATTGAATAATATTTGCTTGCCCGGGTTTTGTCTTCTGCATATCTGCAACTGGAACTTCTCTGATGATTGACTGAGTGGAGATTGTGAAGTTGGGCTCTTCAGTTGTCAGGGAGAGGTTAATAGCAGTGGAACTGATGACATTGGGAGCAACAGGGGGAACACCACATGTTGAGGATGATGGACCTACTGCAACGATACAGATACGTCCAATTGCTGTTCTTAGAACACCTTTGGGGTGGACTTCCACCTTCAGCTAGTATGACAGGACATAACAAGTAATTGTGGCTTAGCACATAATGTCTGATATACATCCTTTTATCAAAGAAAATGTTCTTAACATATATCAGATGCCACTCTGTACAGTGGCATAATCCAAATTGGAAAATCTTAGGAGAGATCTTATATTTACACATACTGTTCCTCTTTCCCCCAACCCAAAATAATGCTAGGAAATAGAAGTTCTTTCAAGATACTGAGATTTTCATTAGACCCTTCTGAATTCTCTACAATCTTTAGAAATGTAGTGATAATTCATCCAATTTGACAATAATATAGGCATAACATTAAATTGTCACAAAAACTTTCTGGCTTTTTGATTTCCAGATTGCTCTAGAAACAAGCTTAAATGGACTTGTTATATAGAAGGCCAGAAGAAATAAAAGAAGTCACAGTGGGCTAGTACTGATGAAGTTACTTAATTTGATAATGACATCTGCAAGAAAACAGCCAAGGTCAGAGAACACTAAGGACCCCACAGTTCAATCCTGGGCTATAACTATTCTTTTTTATTGGTAAAAAAAGTCATTTTATTGTAACATATTCTTAATTTTCACCAACAGCTCCCAAATCAAGATTTCTTTAAGACATAATGCTAGTTTTCATATCTGAAGTTAGCAACTTAACTAGGGTATTACAATAGTTTAAGAACTCTCCTGCTTATAAAACCTATACAAACTACGTAACCAGCAGTATCATCACAATACACACAACAGTTGTGACTTTCAGGATGATAACATAAACTACCTACAGCTTTAGAGAAATTCTTGACAGCTAATTCTAAGTATTCTCTTCCATGCAATAGAAGAATAATAAGCCTGAAGAAAAAGTACTTGCCAAAAAAAATCCCATTAAAATGTTTTCAGCTGAAGTTTCTTTTTAAAATTCTTTGAAAAAGTTGGGAAATAAGCAAGTCCATCCTGATTCAAGATTGCAGACCGAGGGATACATAAATGTAAGAAATTTATGACTGAAGCAAATTGGACAATTAATTTTACAGTTTGGCAAGTGAAAAAATTATATAGAAAATATTAGTATACAAAATTTCATTGATTTCTTTAAAAAATGAGATTATGTTTTGCGTCTGTTTAGCCTAACAGGAAAAGTCCCATTACCATTTGTGGGGCCTCATATAATATACTGGGGGCTGGTAAACAATCATAAAATTGATAAATTAAACATGGATTGAACTGAAACATGATAACACAATGTAGGTGAGGGAAGCAAATACAGGTAGTCTCATGACCACAATTGGGCCTGGAATTTTGATTCTAATCATTGTAGTTGTTAAGTGAGATGCCCAGGTGAGAGCTTCACTCAACAATGACAATCCTGGCTCTCTCAGTTGCAGTCATTAAGTGGGTGGAGCAAAATGTGCAGGCAGCTTCCCTCCATGCACAGAAGGGAATTCCTGCACTGGGCTATAGAAAATAAACTCAGATCTTTGTGATCTATGTTATATTTCTCCAGTCCAGTCCTGAAGTTTCCCTCTCTTCTATGCACAGAAGGGAACTCCAGCACTGGGCTGAAGAAAAGGAAGTTGGATCTTTTAGATCCAAACTTTGTTTCTCCAACCCACTACAGGTCTTTCCCCCTTTCCTCTGTGTGCGGAAGGAAACTGTTACACTGGGCTAGAGAAAGGACACTCAGATCATCAGAATCCAAACTTCCTTTCTCTGGCCCACTCCAGGGGTTTCCCTCTCCTCTGTGTGCTATGCTTTCTACCCTTCAAAAAAATCCCACTTGTTTTCTGACTGGAAAGCTAGGGAAAGCAATGTTTCTGAAGAGTAGAAAGGCTTTTCTAGCCTTCACAAACATTGTGTTCATAAGCTGTTTGTTAGCAGCTGCACAAAAAGGCAAAAGTATGTGGACCTGGGCATGGTGGGTCATGGAGAAGGCCAGGGCCTTCCAAATGTGGTGAGATAGAGAGAAATAGGCAGGGAACAGGCTGAGACCTCCAGGGCAGCACTTTGCCTGTGCTGGGAGGCCAACTGGGTAGTTGAGATGTGGGGCAGAGATAAGTAGGGAAGAGTTGAAGTACCCCTAAGTATAAAGGGCCATTGTGCTACCAAGCACCCAATTTTTGATCATATGGCTGCAGGAGAATTGCAATGGCTGTAACTTTAGGCAGGGGTCATAATTCTCTTTGTTCAGTGCTGTCATAATTTTGAATGGTCACTGAACGAATAGTCATAAATTGAAGACTACTTGTATTTGAATATTTCTATTATTTTTCATTCTAAAGAAAACGTAACACTGATTGAATTATTGTATAACTGCAAATTAGAGTTAGTGCTTTTTGATGGTGGTGATACCGTTTCCCTGAAAATATAATCTATCCTGAAAATAAGCCTTAGCATGTTTTTCCGTGTGCAGCTAATATAAACTCTACCCCCAAAACAAGCCCTACTTAAGAGCCTGCGCAACCAGTCACCCGTCAATCCTGTCATTCAGGCCATTTTGGCCTGAGGCGAGGTGTAGGGGGGTAGAGCTGCCCCAGGCCACACGGCTTACCTCAGGGCCCCAGCAGCCATGCCATCCACACCCCAATACCTACCTCGCAACAGAAGCACCAGCAGCCATGTGCAGCAGGAGCCCACATGGCTGGCGGCCCACTTCTTCTGCTTGCTCACGGCTGCAATGGAGCAGTAGGCTGAGTGGTGTGATAGTGCCCTGGCCGCGAGGCAAAGGTGTTGGGCATGGATGGCCTGCTGCAGGAGCCCTGAGGTGTGGAGTGGTGGGGCAGCTCTTTTTTTTTTTTTTTTAATTTGATTTATATGCCACCCTTCTCCGGAGACTCAGGGTGGCTTACAATGCGTTAAGGAATAGCCTTCATACTTTTGTATATTTATACAAAGTCAGCTTATTGCCCCCACAATCTGGGTCCTCATTTTACCTACCTTAGAAAGGATGGAAGGCTGAGTCAACCTTGAGCCTGGTGAGATTTGAACTTGCAGTAATTGCAGGCAGCTGATGTTAATAACAGTGCTTTAGTCTGCTGCGCCACCAGGCTCCACCAGCTCTACCCACCTCACCCTGTGGCCGTGGCACCAGTGTATCACTCAGCCTCCTGCATTGTGGCCGCGAGCAAGCAGAGGAAGTGGGCTGCCAGCCATGTGGGGTCCTGCTGGATGGGGCTGCTGCGGGGGCCCTGAAGTAAGCCGGTGTGGGTGCGTGTGCTCCATTTTCTGCCTTGTGGCAGTGGCAGACTGCGCGGCCTCCTGCCCTTCCAAAAGCAAGCGGAAGAAGTAGGCCTCCCATACATAAACAAAAATAAGACACCCCCCCCCAAAATAAGCTCTAGTGCTTATTTTGAGGTCCAAAAGAAAGACCTGGTCTTATTTTCGGGGAAAGACTGATAGATAGCCTTCACTTTTATTTTTGCCTAAGATTATCAATTCTTTCCCTGCAGCAAATAATTTTACTAACCGATTTCAATCATAGCATTGTGAAGATCTTTCCACTGGATTGGGACTGACTTAGTTTATCAGTGATTTGCAGTTTCTCAATGGTTTCAGTCTTACATTTTCCATCATACATTTTCATTTAAGTAGGAGAATCTTTGCTATCAACCCTTCCCTTCATTTGATAGTGTTCTTCATGGTTCAGTTCTAGGTACCCCTTGGTATAATTTGTCACTGTTTTCTGCTTTTTTTTTCAATAACTAAAATAATTATCATATTTATGCCAATGATAACCAGGTGTATTCTTCTGCTCCAGTACAGAATGATGCATTATAGTTTTCCCTCTACAACTACTTTACTCAGATTTCCAGATGGACATGTTCCTCCATTCTTAAATTAGATATTGAGAAAACCAAACTATTATTTTTCTTCCCGATTGACATTCTTTTTCTTTTCCTTTTTTAAAAATTTTCAAAATCATCAACTGTAGGCACCTTCTGTGGGTAAATACTTGGAAATTTTTGTTAATGGGAAACTTACTTAAAGTTGATAAAACTACAAAGGGTTTTTTTTTATGTACAGCTTCTAAATTCATTTATTTCTGACTTGAAAAGGCTAAGAATACTGAAGTAATTTTTTGACAGCTGTTCATGGAAGTTGCTTCATACCCTCTGGTTGAGTCTAGAATCGTCTGTGTAATTTATGGTCCTCTCTTAAGTCACCCCTATTTTTTTTTTTTCATCAGTCCTCTACACTGGCTAAGACCTTAGGAACATTATCACTTTAAATTGCTTGTGTTGACAAGAACATCCAATTCTTGAATAACCTAATATGAAATCACGATTCTGTATGTTCAGTTCACACATGTAATCAGGGCTGCCTAATTCTTCTTTGCCTTAGAATAACCATCTCATGTTTCTGAACTTTTTCCCATCTAGCTTCTCCTATTTGGAAGTGATTCCCCCTTGAACTACCTGATCTTCCAGGGCTTAAAAATACTTCAGAATGCTTCTTTTTTCAGGACCTTTGTGAAATTGAAAGAACTTTCCAATATTAGTAGATGATGTTAATTAAAGTATGATAGTGTTGGGATTCAATGTTTTAAATTGATTATGATATTATTTTATTGTTTACATCAGTTAAGAAAGTATTGCAAATTATACCCTTCTTTGTACTATGCTTAAGAGAATACTAAATAAAAATACCATTACTACTATTTGCATTTATAATCCATGAAAAGATAATTTTTTATTAGATTAATAATCAGTTAATCTTTAAGGACCTACAATATTCTTTCTTTTTGCTACATCAGACTGATGCTACTAATTCCCCCTCTCAAAATTTAATTAGCTTCCATGATCTGAAAGATGTGCAATTTGTATTTTAGCTCTTATTCTTTGATTAGTGATGAATGATTAGCTTTCTAATAATTTTGATTGTAATAGTAAAATTGGGAAACTATCAAAATACGCATTAAAACTGCATTGTTTAATGTACTTGCATAGTGCATGTAGTGCATAATTACAAAACGGTATGTTATGACAAGAATTAGCGGTTAGCAAATTGCACAAATTAATGGAGGAGACGACTATCAATGGCTATCATTGTAATATCATCTTCAGAATCCAGCTGCATGCTTCAGCATCTTGGAAATCAACAGGAAAAAAAAGTTACGGCCCTCATGTCTTGCTTTTGGGCATTCTTGAGGTTTCATTTATCTAGTTTGGAAAGTAGATGCTAATGATATATGGGGTTTACATTCTTTTAGATGTTCTTCCAACTACTCTAAATATGTTCTATTCACTTTGTTTTCTCACTGTTGCTTACCTCTTATACCCTATTTCTTCCTATTCAAATTTGTGCAAATATCTCAAATATTCACATTCAGACCAAATAGCTATCTTTCAATAAAATAATGTTAACTTAGTACATATTTTTAATGTCCTTATTGGAGAGATTCTCTTTTTTACAGCCAACTCAACATGATCTCTTACCTTGATTTTTTCCCATCTTCTCATTCTCCTGAAGTTGCTCATCTCTGCCCATTATTATGGTTTTGGGCTCTGGCCTGGTTGATATATTATTGTGATTATTGGAGGACAAAGCCAAATGTTTGGAGAATGTCCCTGGATTCTGCTGGCCATTATGCTCCTCTAGCCCAGATACACCCACATCCTGGAAATCAGAATAGGCAGCTGAAACTGATAGTTCATTGGTTTTATTTATATGCCCAGAATCCTGTTTGATCAATTTGTGGCTGCCTGTTAAAACAGCTCTCCTATAAGACATTGGGGAGGGGTGAACTTTTCCAGTAGCAGGAGGTGCTGGTATTAGATTCATTAAATTGTTGGTAGTGGCCACCTGCTTTGTATCCTGCTTGGTTTGGCATAAATGATTGACTGGCCTGTTCATAGGAACTTTTATACCATCTTTTGTTTGTGGTTTGTCTTTGTCTTCCTTCTCCATTTGACAGAGATTCATTAGCTGTTTGCTTCTTGGAATGGCTGCCTGAGTCTCCTGATCTTTTACCTCAGAGCCCCCCTGCAAGCTACCAATTTGTGCTTCGTCAGTACCTGACCCAATTTCCAATCTGCTTACGTTAGGAATGTTACCCCAGATAATGTCTTTACTAGTTTTGCAGCTGCCATTTCCCCATTGCCCGTCCCTGGTAACAGTGTTGGCCTTCTTCTCTGAAGAACACAATGGTCTAGGGACACCATGACAATTTTTGATTGCAAATTGCAGGCTGTTGATGCCAGCTTCTTCACTGTCTGTCCTGTAGCTGTCTGATGTGTCAGTGGTGCTGCCTAAAGCTGAGTCCACATCTTCAGCGCTATTAACTTCGCCAATATATGTCTCCCTGATGCATTCTGAAAAAACACGCTGCCGAGAAGGAAGAATCCACAATGGAGTCCTTTTGGGACCTAGAGGCTTTGCCCGTGAGTTCCCCTGGGAAGTACCAAACTCTTTGTTTCCATTCGTGTGAAGAGTATCACTGCCTCCAGGAAGGACATTGGCAATTTCATGTTTGCCATTCCCAGTTTGATTGACTCTAGTGTCTGCTGAATTGTTGATATAAGACCCACAGGCACTACACTTGCTTTCTTTATTGACTTGAGGAGGCGTACCTTTTTCAGAGCATCCTCCATTGCTCTGGGGAGTATGCATTTTGGCTCCCTGTCCTATGCTTTGATGTTCCCAACTAGATTTGTTGATGCTATTGTCTTTACGCTGAAGGTCACCATTTATATAGCCAGCAAGATCTGGTTTGGAGAGCAGTGGGCCCTGTCCAAGAGATAACAGAACTGAGTCTAAGGGCCGTTTCTGACGTTGCTGCAGGCGTTCCAAATAGCGAACTTCAGCGTCCCTTGCAGATTCATCCTCAAAACGCACCCGAGAAGAAGATGGCCCTTGCTTCCTCTGCTGCCCATAGCTGGAGTCACCACTAGATGAATCACTCTGGTTTCCACTACTATGGATGTTTCCATCTTTCAAAACGAAGTCTTTTGTGTCTGCAACAGGGGATCTACAGGTACCCCTAATGAACCAAAGAAAAGATTATTTTTTATTACTTGGTGAGACTATCCACTTTGCTACTGTTTTCATCTATCTACAAGCCTTTAGCAGGAGGGATTGTTTGTCTTAATGGCCACGTATTGTATCCTAATGAAGAACAAAGCCTTCTAATATTGCTCAGGTTTTCGCTACCAAAATTCATTTTGCCAGTGAGCAAAAATAAAAGGTAATATGCATCTAGCTTCTTGTACAGTCATCAGATGAACAAGAGATCCAGCATTTTGTTACAGTCCTAACATGTAACAAATCGGCAAGATGAATGTATACTTCTAAATGAAGAATAACTTATGACTAGAAAATGGCAGGGATATGCTGTGGAAAGTTGAAATTGCTTGGGGATAATATAAGATATAAGACAAGACATAGGTAATATCTGAGGACAAAAAGTAGTCTCAAATAGGGCTTACATTCAGCTGCAAACCAAATTCAGATCTATTTACTTTTATAGGCAAAAGTAAACAATTATTAGACTCTGGTAGTATATATGTTATAACGGTGAAAGGAAAATGCTTGTGAATGCATTTAAAGAAATGTATTTTACAGCTATATGTTGATTTATTTTTTACAATTAGCTGGGCTCCAAAATATTTTTTCCAGGAATTGAAGTGTTTTTAAAGAAGGGGAAAGGGGAAAAAAACATGGAAACCGATTTTTTTACTAGCTGCCTTGTCATTATAGAATATACTATCTCCTGAAATCCATATAGCCCCCCCTTCTGTAGATGTTTTTAAATATTAGCATTTAAGATATGCCACAAGGATTATCTCTAGTATTTATTTTTCCAATTCCTTAACTTTATATTATTGCATTAATTATGTCACAATGTTTATTTTATGAATTTACTTGGAAGATAGCTGCCCAGGGTCTCTGGAACTGAATATACAGTAAGTATTAGCAAATAAATATTTATTTTGTTTGTGTTTATAATAATTTTGATGCATTTGGTCTATGAAAAAGTTTGTGCAGAAAGAAAATAGAAGCACTAAAGCATGTGGTTCACAATACAAATAGCAATTTTTATAAAGTTTAAACTCCACTATTTTTGAAAAATTGCATTTTATAAAACTACAATGATGTCGGAAAACATTTAAGTCTTATGCATCCTCATCATTGAATATTTTATTGCAAAGGACGTCAAGCCACAACAAATAATTTCATTTGAATCTCACTCTATTACATAGCACTATTTGAATCAAATGTTTATGTTTACTTTCACAGTTTCCTTCAGGTACATAATTTTTGGGCTCTGAATTAACATACATACATTTCTTTAATCTATCTGTTTTATTCTTGTACAGCATTTCACTTGTAAGATGAAAACTTTAAATGGTTACAGATGTGAAGAACAAAGAGGCTGGAACCGAATGGCATACACTGGAAAAATAACCCACGCACTCTTCTTGACTAGTTCCTCCCTTTTCATGCCAATCCAGTCCAGAACCTCAAGGCTACCAAATGGAAATGACCAAGCTTACCTTTTGTCTGGGGAGGCAGTAAGCAGGATGTTATGGCTAGCTCGGAGTGGGTTTGTCCTGGCCTTCATACGAGCTCTCTGTAGCAGCTGCTTGGCCTGTTCATGCCTGGGGCTCAGCTCCAGCTTTTGGTTAGGAACAAAGACCCTGCAGGCAAAGCAACAGGGAACAAACAATGCTGCATTAGTGGGGAGGGGGGAAAATACAGATTAAGAGTGGTTTAATGATGAGAGTGGCAGTACAGTGGAGAGACACCATAGTTGTAGAAGTTGGGTTGAGGTTTCTACTGTAGCCTGACTTAAAATAGATGGTATTTTTTGTGGCTAATATATTCTCAAGCAGACTAATGATCAGACAGCAGGCTAGCCAGAATATCAACAATAAGAAGGCAGTAGCAATGCTAAAGTGTTCAAGAAAGATATACAACTAACATTCATAAAATAAACTTAAGGCAGGCATTTGTTCATGTAAGAGTAAAGGGATGAGTGTTAGTAAAAAGCTATTTATTCTAAGTAAAAAATTAGAGGTAAAGATGGCCCAAAGGTGGCTTTGATTTGTTGTGAAAGCATTGGTGCAGCTTTTCTGGCACTGTTTGCAGGCATGGTCTGCCTTCTTCCCCATCCCCACCCTCCACCTTTCCTTTTCAATCCCAGTTCTCCCACCCAAACAATAATCAGACAAACCTGCTTTTCCCCTGAGATCAGCCAGGAGCAAGAGAATAATCAGGCTGTACCAATTTTTAAACAGTGAAGAGGGACTTCCAGGATTTGAATTCAGCTAATGGAGTATGATTATACACTGCTTCAGATTTTTATGAGAAATAGCATTTCTTTCTTTCTTTCTTTCTTTCTTTCTTTCTTTCTTTCTTTCTTTCTTTCTTTCTTCTCTCTTTCTCTCTCTCTCTCTTCTCTCTCTCTCTCTCTCTCTCTCTCTCTCTCTCTCTCTCTCTCTCCCTTCCTACCTACCTACCTACCTACCTACCTACCTACCTATCTACCTATCCTATCGCATATATTTAACTACAGGTAGTTCTTAACTTACAACCAGCCATTTAGTGACTGTTTGTAGTTACCACAGATTCCAAAAATGAGACTTATGACCCCGTTTCAAAGTTCCAATGTTTGGGCTCCTCTTGAAGTCACGTGCACTTGGCCTGCATGTATATTTATGGCTGTTTGCAGCCCCCACAGTGATGTGACTGCAATTTACAACGTATTTACTGGAAACCAGCGTTTACTTCCAATTTCCTGCAAAAATTGTCACATAGCAAATAATGGATTAGTTTAACAACTATGGTGTTAAGGCCACAAAAAGGCCTTAAAATCAGTCTGGTCATATGATAAGCCACTTTATGGCAGTCATGATTTACAACCATTATTGCAGGCTCAATTATGCATAGAAATATTCTTTAGCAGGTATTTTGCAGACAATACTATATATGCCCACAACAGCCAAACAAACAACTGAACAGAATATGCACTTCTGAGATCTCTAAAGAGAACAAATAGTGGATAAAACTGAAAAACAAATGGTTTTCTCAGATAAAATGTAAAAGAGACCTTCTGAATTTTGACCATTTATACATTTTAAAATGTATGGCTTGTCTAACCAGCAAAATATAAACAGTGTAGTACTGTATTTTTATTTAGACAAATTACAATGTCTTTTTACAATTATAAATTTATTATATTATCCTTCTTTATTCAGGTAATTAATTACTCCCCTATTAATTTCCCCTATTAATATTACGTCAGCTTTTCGTTATATCTATAACATATACCGATAAAAGCTGATATTGCTGCTTCTTTAAACATTTGCCCTATTGTGGTTTGCCATCTTATCATGTGACCCATTTTCTCCCCTACAGAGTTTACCAACACACTCAGACATTTCCTATTTGTCTTGATCATAATCTTTACAATTACTTTAATCAGCTTAGTGAGTCACTTTGGCTGATCCAAGTTTAACTCTTTCAGCCTAGAATGTAATTGCACATGGAGGCTAGTAATATGCATACAGATTGTTTTTGCAGGTCTTTTTCAGACATGAAGAGATAAAACATGCTTCCAATGAAGTTTGGCAACCTATTTGAAATAACATGCTTTCTTTAAAATTCTTCAGACGCTGAGCTTAAAGAAGCCCCTCCAATGCGATATATTATGCTTCCAGGACGCCTGCTTATCTATGTATATTTATTTAATATTTAGCCTTTCATTCAGCAGCTCAAGGTAAAATAGAAACCTCTCCTAGGATGTAGGTCATGTTGAGAGAAAGAATGGCCCAAAGGCATGTAATGCTATCTTCCAGAAGGCTAACTAGGTGGGAGCCTTATCATCCCAAATAACACTATTCTGATAAAGCAAATTCTTTAGAAAATAAAACATATGATACATTTTTCCACAAAACACTTTGTTTCAAGCACTTCTCTCTCTCTCACACACACACACACACAAGCAAACAAAAAAAGCATTCAGTACAAGAGGCTCCAGATCGTATTATGACTTGATTTCTAGCCTAATTTGTATTATCCAGGCATCCAACCTTCTTGAATGTAGTTTCAGAAAGCTTCATTTTGTAAAGTTCATCTTTAGAATCACATATACAACCCACCTGCCTTTTTGTAATCCCTCAAACCATACAGAAGTCACATATGTCATATGCCCTGTTATATGAGATTTTACGTTACTTTCCCTTTCCCTCCTGGGGAGAGGGGGAGGAATTGCTCCATTTTTAAACATGGCATACCCTATCAGGTGGTTTACTTATGCTGTTCACTGGGAGGCAGCACATGACAGCTGTTGTCCTTACTTGGGACTCCTCAGGCATACGTAGCCATTGATATATCTATGGGGCTCAAATCCTCTGTCAGGAATTGAACTCATGGTGCACTGTAGACAGGGCCGGATTTAGATGAAAAGAGGCCCTAGGCTATTCCACTTATGAGGCCCTTTCACCTATAGTGAAAGTGTAATTTTAATTTTGCTAACAATTTGAATGTAGGCCCCTCTTGATCTTGAGGCCCTCTCTTGATCTTGAGGCCCTAGGCTGAAGCCTAGTTAGCCTATAGGAAAATCCGGCCCTGACGGTAGATTACTCCCTTGTAGGGAGTCACAAAGAGAAAAAGAAAGAACCAAACATCTCTCCAAAGAGACACCCAATCTCTGCAGCACTGCACTGCAGCTATGTATGCCCTATTAAATCTTGAGTTAGGCGTTTGGTTCAGAGATAAAAGGAGGAACAAACAATTTGATCAAATGTTCTCTATATGAGGTGAATCTCCAGGCCTCTTTTTCCTCTCCTTTTTCTTTTAAAAATTTATTTAGATATTATTTTATTAGCTCTTCTTAGCTCTCTGGTTTACTACCAACTTGCCTTCCACTGAGGACCTGTATACTGCATGAGTCAAAAAGAGGGCTGTGAAAATATTTATAGACCCCTTACATCCTGGACATAAACTGTTTCAACTCCTACCCTCAAAATGATGCTATAGAGCACTGCACAGCAGAACAACTAGACACAAGAACATTTTTTTCCCCGAACGCCATCACTCTGCTAAACAAATAATTCCCTAAACACTGTCAAACTAGTTACTAAGTCTGCATTACTTCTCATCATTCCTATCACCCATCTCCTTCCACTTATGACTGTATGACTGTAACCTTGTTGCTGGTATTCTTAAGATTTATATTGACTGTTCCCTCTGACTATCATTAAGTGTTGTACCTTATGATTCTTGACGAATGTATCTCTTCTTTTATGTACTCCAAGAGCGTATGCACCAAGACAAATTCCTTGTGTCCAATCACACTTGGCCAATAAAGAATTCTGTTCTATTCTATTCTATTCTATTCTATTCTATTCTATTCTATTCTATTCTATTCTATTCTATTCTATTCTCTCTTTATTTGGTTTGGCACAATAAAATACTTGAAAAAGTTTGTATCTACTACGCATCTTGGGCATGTCTTTGAGTCAGTGTTGACTCCTGGCAACTGCCTGAATAAGTAAACCTTGCAGCTCACTTGGCTATTTTTTTCAGAAAGGGTTTGCCATTGTCTGCTTCTTAGGGCTGAGAGAAAATGACTGGCTTAAGGTCGCTCAGCTCACTTCATACTTAAGTAGGAGCAGAACTCAGTTTCCCAATTTCTAACCCATTGCCTTAACCAGTACACCAAACTAGTCCTGATTAAACGCTTAGGATGAACTTTATATAATATAAAGTTGAATTTCAGAAATATTTTTGAACTGACCTTTCTGCCTTTTAAGTTGGACATTTTCTTGTTTTTCAAATGCCCTATTTGATGACAAAGTTTGATTTGTATTTTGAATATATATTGCAGCTTCAATTATATGTAATACTTGAACATACATTAATACATGGAAACATGCTGACCTCTGTACTAAGAATTTTATGCATTTTTCTGCATGATTTGGGAGCATCAAAAATAAATAAATGTTTATGTTTATTACATATTAATTTCTAACTTGTATTCTTTTCTCTACTGTTTTTCCCTTCTAGCCCAGCTCTGCCCTGGTGATTTTTGAATAGGGCCTATGGCATACTATGCAAAATAGAACACAATCAGTGACTAGTGATCACAGAATGTGACTACTACTAGCATTACAGGAATGGGGCAAGTGATTAAATCTATTTTGCAATGTCACAACACAAGTGCAAAAGGGCGAAGCTTGCACTGTAATAACACAACAATGATCTTGTTATTCCTGCATCATTGTGTTTACGAATGGACAACTATGCATGACTCTTCACACAAAAAGATTGTTTCGTTCAGGCCTACCAAATGATTTATCATTTGAGTTGATGGAGCATAATAATTCAAGAAGTCTTGATTGAAATTTTGCTTTTGCCGTAAAACAGCTATTGTGGCATTTGGCAAGCCATTGCTTCTAGCCTCAGCTCTCCAGAGCAATAATTTTTGGATAATGCTGACCTAGAGTTATATACAATATTACATACTGAAAAGATCTGCCCTTCAAACTTACATGATTATCAGAGGCGATTTAAAGACTAAATGGGCCTCTCAAATGAAGTCATTTATGCACTTTCAAAATTGGTCCCCAGAGCTGGCAAAGGGCCTACTGTGTCTTCAAGGTCCTCCCTGAACAATAGGAGTAATCTAGCATAT